GTTATTTACTATTGAATTTAATTACAAACTTAGAATAAAAAACATACTGCGTATTTCCTTTGATGATCATCGTCTTTTTAAATGGCAAGGTGAGTTGAAATGAAAAGAGAATTGTTTTCGAAATTTAAATTTGAATTTAACTATGAATGAAAAATATTCGGTGTTTCTATCGATAATCTCCTTGAGAGCAACTGATGGAAAGTTAATCGTCATTTTTCGAGAAAGTTGCAGTGTTACAAGTTACTTCAAGAATCTCTTGCGATTGCGTATGTACTTCGATCTTGGAATTGATCCAAACGTCTTTGTGGATTTGCAAACTCTAACTAGACCATGATGTAGGAAACTCCATACTTCATTAATTATTACACCTATTTTACTAAATTCTTGCGTCGTCAGACAACTCTTAGAATACCGTAACCATCGTAAAAATGAATGAAACGTAAAATATTCATTCTATATTTATGCGTTTCTTTCGAATGAGCCGTTTTGTTTTTAAATTCGTCAAGAATTTAGTCGCATCTCATTTTCCGACGTGATCCTCCGACGAAAGGAAGAAACGACAAAAGAAAAAAAAGAAAAAAAAAAAAGGAAGAGGACGAAAAACCAACGGCGACAGTGGCGTGGCGTGTTTTCTTCGGTTCGCGGTGAATTTTCGTGGCGAGAATTGGCGCGTGTCGGCCAATTGACATGCACGGGACTTCACCGTGGTTCCAGTACGGCGAGAAATTCTTAAATGGTCGGCCCGTTGCTGCCCAGGAATGTATGGAAATGTTACGTACCACCTCTGTCCTTTATTGTCCTACATGGTGACTGGTGGCGGGTTAGGTAGATATATGGACTGCTGCGTGCGCGTACCTACGTGGCCGCTCGCCTATACGCGCGTGCACGCGCGTGCAAGTGTGAAAAGATAGATGAACGCGCGTATGTGTGTGACGCGTGACACGTGTTAATCGTGCCTGTGAGGTCCCAACCCTTCCTTCCACCCGCCGCCGCCAGGTACACACCGTGTACGCATAAGTATAACTCCGATACGAGACGTTCGTTAAGCCTGTTTCACACTGCGACACTTGTAACACTATAACATTTCGTGACGAGCAGTATCGTGTGCATAAATGCACAGCAGGATAACGAGGTAGTATTTTAATAAATTAATGCGATTAAGAAATATTTATTATATTTATGCGTCGAAAAGTACTTATCATTGTCGTCTAAATTATAATGATTTGTATAATTCCAAAGATCAGTTGTTCTAGTATCAATGTAGTTAGCTAATGCCACAATAATTAGACGACTAATGACTGCAGAGTGAGTCTTCATTTTAGGATGATTATAACGTGTTTCTAACCAAATTAAAAAAAAAAATTTTATACAACCAGTGTGAAGCTATTTGTTAGAAATGAATGTGAAAATTTTAAATTGTCGAAACGTAGAAAAAGTATCAAGCTTTTAAATGCTCGACAATACAACATTCTATTTTCATTAATGTAATTTCAATCACTCATACATACCACTTGTACAAATTTACATATCAATTTCATATAAACGACGATCATGAGAAATTGTTGGAGTTGGAGTCAATTTCATAGATTCAGGCGCGTTCGATTTTGGTCAAGCGTGTACGAGGCATGATCGGAGCACGGGTGGACGAGTCTTAAGGGTCGGCAAGCTACCGGTGGACACTTCTCGGGTCTGCTTTTTAATTTACGACTCTCGATTTTTTCGTGATGGCCCAGGGTTAATGAAATTGATGCCACTATGCCGGTCGTGCATCAGATTAGCTATGGTAAACGGTGATTTGGCACGGGCCACGTCTTCACGCGCGTGTGTTCCACTGTCACGACGTCCGACCGTGAGATTCTCGTAAGCTACAGCCTTGTAATCTAACGAATTAATGGGAATTAACATGATGAAACGACGCTCGTACGTTTTTCTACTTCGAACCAACGATATTTCGGGATAAAACGACGCGTTGAAACTTTGTCGTGGAATGAATCGTTTATATTCAATTATGAGATTACACCGCTGCTAAAGTCTGTTTCGTTGAAATTTTTAAGCGAGACGATAGGTGGATTTAATAAAGAAGAATTCATTCAATCCAGCATTTAATTCAAACAAATGGAATTCGTACAAATGAAGCTTCATTACATCTTTAACCCTCAAGTGGACTATTGGATTATTCGTCGAATTTTAAATTAATAATTCTATCATTGACGTCACTGTCTAAAATTTTAAATAATCCTTCATTATTTTTAAATTTACTAATTATTGAAAACTTATGAAAATTGAAACTAAATCGAGACTGCCAGATTGAAATTCCACCGAAGAGTTTTGAAAAGAAGAAGAAGAAAAAGGCGTTTAGAATAATGTAGCTACTCGTCATGACCGTGATCTATGCAGAACGACTCCCCCCGCGTCGTTTAAAATATAACGCGATCATAAATTTCTTTTGTCGTTCATGAAAGCAGTGTCGCAATCGTGCACTACCATTATGTCTGAATAACGCGAACAAGAACGAGACAATAAAAACTCGTTACATACGCAGAAATACATAGTTCATAGTCGAACGAGAATGGTAATATTGGAAATTATTATCAGCTGTCTCTTTGACTACCGTAATATCCTATTAATGTTTCTCAAACCCCTGTGAAGGGTTTTCTGCGATCGAGCTCATTCGTCCACGTATACTTTCATTATTACTTTTTATGTAATAAAAAAGAAAAAAATTACACAAGAAGAAAGAAAGATTTAAAAGCGGAGAATTCAAGGTAACGTACATAAAAGTGTCAATCATCGTTAATTCAAAAACGTTGAAGAAACTTTTTTCGAAAGACGATGTACTGCCGCGAAAGAAATTAATATTGTTCGTTTATATGTTGGCCAGTAGTTAACAGGAACGCTTATCTTTTTTCTAATGCATATGAGTATTAGAAAATAAAACAGTTAATTTCACGGTAGATGATTTTAAATGGTGGAGAATGTCAAATGGGACAAAATCTTTCGAAAATTGTTAAATACATAATTTTTGTATGCGACAGGACTGGACAACAATCTTATTCCAACAGGTCCATTCTCAAAAAAAAAAAAAAAAAAAAAAAAAATATAAATCTATCGTGTAACAGCTCGAAAATAATTACGAACAGCAAAGACTTGAAAGTTGTAAAATTTGTAAAATCGGAGAATGGACGTTTGACGACCCTAAGAGTCTTCAATGAATTGCTCGCTCTGTATGAAACGTGACTGAAAAAATTTTGGAAAAGGAAGAAGCTCGTTCAACTTTAAACTTCGAATAATAATATTTCCAAAATTTCAGCGAGAAATTATTTACAGACATTCTCCATATGTAAACGGGTGAAAAAGAATTCTACGTCTCTCTCCAACGTCGCTGACTTTTCTCTCTTCGAGTTGAAAAATTGCTCAGGCGGTTGGCCTGCTTAGGCGTAATACTTATTGCCAATTCAACGGATACCAGTGGACAGTTTCGCAGGGAAATGCAATATTTGCTAGAATTCAAGAAGCACAGCCAAGCACAGCTCTCATAAATATTTCATCGGGATAGGCTGAACGAAAAGAGTTGATCTATGCGAGCCGCGGATCCGCGAACGAGGTTGAGGAATTATTTTTCAAAACAAAATTTACGACAGCGGCGGCGCGAGTCACCGTTGCGAAATCCGCCGGCCATCCGTTATTGTGCCAACAACCAACGCTGAACTATTTAACAACAGGCTCGTTTCGCAACGATTTATCTTGCTCGCGCGATCGACCGAGCTTAGAGGCGACAAATTCGAGCGTCGTTCCGGCGCTCGGCAAACCGCGAACAACCGTCGGATTCGAGGTAACGTTTGTCTCCCCGCCTCGATGGAAAGGAATTGCCATCGATATCGTTTCGTATCGGCGCGACAGTTTTAAATTGGTCGCCGACAAATTGCCGAAAATTGAGAGAATTGCTTCGATTATTGTGTCTTAACTTCCTCTTGAGAGTTTTTTTTTTTTTTCTACACCGTCATTTCTATTTCTTTCATTTTTATCGATGAAAGCTGAATGCATAAACACCCGCAGTCTAAGTTCAAAGTTGAATTTCCAAATTTACTTTGTAGCCAAAAGCGTAGTACAAACAAACAAACACGGAAACGTTAAGAAGAAAAATGTAAGACTCGAATAACCAAGCTGGAAAACAAACTATCAATTAAGTTAAAAGAGGGAATTCAACTTTAAAAATTTGGCAACTGACCACTCATCCTAAGCAACGGAAAAATTCAGCGATTCATCGGTCTGAGACGATTCACGTTAGCAAGAAGTGGTTCGAGTTGCGTGAAAGTTACACAAAAAAAAAAAAAAAAAAAAACAGGATACTCCCTCGCGGCGAGGAGGATTTCCGAGGATACGATCCGAGCGCGATCGGATAAAAAACGGAACCGAGGCCGGAACCGGTCACCACCGTGGCGCCCCAAACAAGAAAAGAAACATCGGCGGTAGCGCGTCACCGGGGTAGAGAGACAGCTCCTGAAAGTCAGCTCCGTGAGCACGGCTCATTAATTCCGTTTTACGGCCGTGTTCGAGGGCGCGGGCTCCGCGAGCCGTAAATAAGTCACGGCGATCCGATCGAAACGATAGAAAATCAAAGCACGTGTCTCGTATGACACACATGTTGCAACCGATGGAATGCAGCTATCATACGCTATCGGGCGAGCGCGTGCCCGGCACGATCGTGTCTCGATTTTTGTGGAAATCGTTCCGATGGATCGACCAACAGTTTTGCGAAAATCCAACGACCTTTCTCTGGTTGGTAAACGCAACCGTGTTGGCGACCGATTGCCGTTCGATTCGACGATTTCGCGACGAACAAATTGCAGCCGGTTGAAATTGAATACCGACTAGGCCAACGGGGAATAGACTCGCAATCAGTCAGGGTCCCAGGGACGACAGCGAGTACGTTCGAACCCGGCGCAGCGATTGCAACGCGCTCCGAGATTGATTGGGTGCAGACAGCTATCTCTCCGCGCCTCGTGTCAACGTCGTACAACGTTTTTACAACGTTTACCGCGCCTTCTGAAGAATTTCTGAAGAGTTTGAAGATGCAATGATGGTAATTACGTTGAAGGAACTGTCTATTATCGGAGTATCTTTGTAAATATGAATTGAACATTACGTAGACATTCGTACGTATTTCTAGAGTTTCGATAATTACATACATTTTCATAACTGTGGATAACTGTGTTTTCTTTTTTTTTTTTTTTTTTGTCTTCGAAGAATATATTGGAACAACTTTTTTAATGTTATTTGATGCCGTTCTGCTTTAATAGGTATTGACGAAATATAAACGAGAAGTAGGTAATAGATTTTTTGAATAATAATATTCGAATAATATTTGTTTGAAGACATTATTCTTTGGATAACTGAGGGGAACGATTAAAATGCTTTTGAAGAACAATTGAATACAATAGAATATTCAACAAAGAATATTACTAATCTAGACAAGAATTTAAGAAAATAAAGAAAATTAGTAGTGTCACTTATGAATTATTAAATAATTTAATTTATTATCGTATTACTAAATCTATACAATAATCTATAAAAATAAAATTACTATATATATATATTTAAGAAGTTTTAAAGTTTCCATGCATCTAAATCTAACGCCAACCTAAACTCCTGATGTTCATTTCAAAATTCTTACATTCAATGAAACACGTGTTGCATTAATATTCGTACATGTGCCCATACATCCTCGAAAAAGAAAGGCATCGGACACGACTCGAGGTTCTATCTAATCGTTATTCAAAAGCACTCGTGCAGTTTAATTCTGACTTAGCATCGGAGGCTATTAGTGGCTACCGATGCCACGATGCTCGTATCACCACCATCGGGCTTACCAGTTACCACAGCATGTTTATAACTTTCTACCAGATAAAACCGTTTAACCGGGCAGACAGATCGAGGAGACACACCTACGAATTAGATTTGGATGATTTGTCGAATCGATGATCTCTCCCGTGATTACGACTGCACTTTAATAACGTTATTAACAACGCGGACACGCGTTTGAGTATACATGTAACGGGTGCTCGAAATTGTCGATATTTCTTTCTCTCGATCTAGACGAAGGATGAATTGGCTCGAAGGAATTGGGAGATACAGCGGGTTGGAATGACGACGCGAGCACGCGAATCATCAACACACGCCTCCTTCGTGCTCAACACATCCGCGACAATGGAACGCAGAACACACTGGCACACGCACCCACCTGCCGGTGCTACGAGCGTACCGACGTGTGGACGAGCGTTTATTGCGATGTATGCGAGTTTATTTGAGTACGAGAAGCAACTGGTTCCAAGCCTTCGCGTAGCAGAGACGATTCACGCAGGTAAGTACTTGACATTGGATTTCGAGGGCTTAGCAATGCCGTTCACTTTGAGAAATCGTTCACACAGCGATGAAAACGTATTAACATACGGTTAATACGTTTAATACTCGAGTGAGTTACTATCGCGCGAAATACTATCGATCACTGTATCGATTGCTGGCGGATATTTCAAATCACGCAGATACAAAACTATATAAACTATCTAAAATATGATATTTATTATAATACATGGTGGTACGATATTTGACACAATTTCCACAAAATTCACAAAATATTCAGAGATCGAATATATCGTACAATTTATCCTTATCGAGCATCTTGATTCAATGGTTTGGTGTATAACAAACAAACTATTTCAAATTTTTCGAATAAAGTCCGAGAAACTGCTATCTCGACGGTATCACCGACTATTGATCATCGTTATCAAAATCGCCTCCAAAGGCAGCAACAATCAATAAAATCTCTCAGCTTGGATTTCTTAAGGATCGCTCAATGACCAGTGTAATTCGCGTTCGATTGAATCGCGATAACTCGAGAACGTAACGCGCCAACCACCCACGCGATTCCGGTCTACCAAGATGATAGCTGTCGGACTACCGATTTCGTTCTGGAATATTATCAGCTCGTTAAAATCATTTTTTGAGCGCAACGTTGAAACGTGTTCGGTGTACTTTTGATTGCAGGGTATTTAGCAATACCTAGAATTCTTCATTCTTTCACAGTGTAGCCGCGATTGTCATGAATTTTATCAATCTGACTTCGATCAACTGTTAACCAGTAGACTATTTGCGAATATTTATGCAAACTATTTTTGCGAAAATAGAATTACGAAGATAGAATTTTTGTGTCGTTAAATCTTTCTCAAACGCTCAAAAATCCACGATTTAATCGTTATAATTTTATCTAATCAAACATGTGAAATAATAAGCTAAGATAATTCGCCAAACAAGTTACTAATTAACTAACTAAATAAAGTTTCTAACTAACTAATCCACGTTCGCATTCGTTCAAACGCGCCAGATAAGTTGATAACTTATATAATTTATCAACTAAATAAATTACTAATCAACTGACTGAAGAAAACAGTTATTGGCTAGCTAAATAAATTTCTAACTAACTAACTAATCCACATTCAAATGCAGTGGAAAGATCCTCGATAGAAATTCCCTACGAAGCATGTTCGACGTCTTCGGTCAAATTGGCCGCCATATTGGACGCAATTGGGGTGAACGTGCTCCAAAACCTAATAAATACTAAAAAAATCTCACTCACCACGCTGACGCGATATTAACGATTGCATCTCCTGGATGTTCAGTTCCCTCCACTGGTCCACGAGGATGCACATGGAAATTCGAACGCAAGAATTCCACAAAACCGACGCGAGAAATTAGGTTATACGAGGACTACGCGACCGGTCACGTACGATAACTGCTCGTAAACTGGCAGAATTTCGTCAGCTGCGACCGACTTCGAATGTTGTGCTCTGACCCGTTTCGTGGAATTTCTTAATACCTTGACGCCTCGTTCGACTTGATGTTGTTATTCTCGACGAACGTCGAGGATTTTTTTTGTCACCTTAGCCAAGTATTAATACGATTCGAAATAATGTTTGCGACTTATCCGCGCAGTAAGATCTATCTGTCTATATGCATTACATATTACATGTATAATATAATATAACATTTAATTTAAAGTATTTATAATGTTTAATTATAAGATAATTATAATGTTTAATTTATAACACGTTACATGAATTAATCAAATATGTACAGAGTACATAAAGTGCACAGAGTACAAAAAAAAAGAAAAAAAAAATACATAAAATATCCCAACTATAAAAATCTGCAGTCGCGCAAATATCCACAACAAAAAA